TTTTACATACACCTCTCGTTAGTTGATTGATATTACATTTGCCATTTGATGGACAACTATATGACTAAACATTTTGAAAGATCAGTGAATTAAAGTAAACACCAATACTAACATATATTTTACCTCATTCCTACCCTTACCCTTACCCTCATTTTTACCCTTACCCTCATTCTTACCCTTACCCTCATTTTTACCCTTACCCTTACCCTTACCCTTACCCTCATTCTTACCCTCATTCTTACCCTTACCCTTACCCTTACCAAAACTTGCAAATAATAGATTGCAAATAAAAATTTAGTTCATGATGCTAGTTTATCGTTTATGAAATCAATGTCATATTAATTACTGCCATTTCTTGATACTGTTGTTTTCAATCCGGAGTATAAATGGCTCAGATTATAAGCATTTCATTCAATATGATGGGCCACTTATGAGAGAAATTCATGATTTATAATTAGGCTTAAAAAGGATATAATAAAAAGTAATATTTTTGTATTAAATTTTTAAAAAATTATTTATCGATTATAAAATCAATGTCATATTAATTAAAGTGTCATTATTTGATGAGTTGCTGTACCGTATGATGTGATAACAAACCTCTCAAACTTGTTTTGAAACACTATATTTAACATAACTTTATAAATGGTGTCTAAAAGTAAATAGTATTATGATGTATATAATTTTATTTAAACAAATCATATTTAAAATAAGAAATAATATAATTCAAAAGTTGTATTAATAATTGTGAACAACACTATGAATAATAATAAGTGTAATAAAATTTGCGAAGTCTGTGGCGATAAAGGAATTGGTAATTCAAAAATGTTTTATATTTATTATAGTAATAGCTAATTGTTTATAAAATATAAATAGCCAGGAACTTTGGTGTGATGTGTTGTGAATCGTGTAAATCATTTTTTAGACGCTCGGGTCGTATGAATAAGGTAAAATATATGTTAGTATTGGTGTTTACTTTAATTCACTGATCTTTCAAAATGTTTAGTCATATAGTTGTCCATCAAATGGCAAATGTAATATCAATCAACTAACGAGAGGTGTATGTAAAAAATGTAGGCTTCATAAATGTTTAGCTGTCGGGATGAAAAAGGTATATTTTATGTCATATCTGTATATTTTATCATATTTTCCTCATGTATTAGGAATTTATACGAAGTACTGAAGAAAATCAACTGAGAAAACAATTAATCAAAGAAAATAAATTAAAACAACAACAACAAGAAAGTGAGCAAGCAGATCTTACAATACATTCATCAACTAATACTTCATCAAGCAAAAATTTATTACTAGATATAAAAATTGAAAATGATTTTTTGATTAAACTATTTGACGATTCTGTTCACATAAGTGATGAGGAATTGAATGAACAGATTATGGAAATTGAAAACTATTTAAATGTTAAGACACATCTAGACAAATTAGAAACACAAATTGATCCTGTTAAAAATAAGTCCCATAAATTGATAATTTATAAGGAGTTAGTAGACTACAAGGGTCTGAATCAATTAGAGTGCACCAGGGTTACTGAGCTCATGGGTGCCGCAAATAAATTTAGTACTCCGGCGACTAAAAAGGAGTTTATATTAAAAATTCAAAGTTTGGAGCATTTGCTGAAAGACTACTCCTATGTGAACGACAATATGGTTAGGAATATAGTCTCGTATTCCAAGTGTTTGAATGGTTTTAATAATATCTGTGCAGAGGATCAGTTGGCGCTCATTAAGTACGGCTCATATGATTTGAATTCATTTCGGTGTCTTAGGTTTTACGACAGACTCACTGAATGCTTCGTAATACCTGTGGTTTGTAATAGTTTTATACAATATTTATCATGGACTGGAACACTGTATTAAAGTATATTATTATACACATAGACCACGGACTTGACACTGGAAATGAATCTGAGCATTTTCAATCATCATAATAATTTGCAATACAATACAATATTGAAATATTATTTCGACAAATTTTTATCGGACTGCGATTACAGCGACACTATAGCTACTGAATTGGTAAATCGTAATTAACACCTGGTTCAAACCACTAATAGTTCACTTAATTTTTAGTTAATGGCAATCATACTATTTAACCCAGACCGACCCAACCTATTGCATAGACATGTCGTTCAGTGAGTGTTATAATTATTTGACTTTAAAATTTGAGAAATTAATTTTAATTTATTGTTTGTTAGACTGGAGCGACAACTGTATGTATATCTTATGCAAAGTTATTTGCTGCTGAAGTATCGATCGGAAACTGAGTCGAGAGAAAAAATACAGAGATTTATGTATTTATTAAACGAAATGAATTTATTGAATCAATTTGATTATAAAGTAATACTGAAGGAGCCGTATATGAAATATATTGGACCACTTTGGAAGGAGATATACTATACCTAGCTTACTTTCACTAGAATCTAAATACATGTACCATAATAAAATAAAAACATTTAATCATTAAATATTGAAATATTAATTATGACTGGTGAGTCTAGTGAACCACGTGTCACAAATAAATAGTTTTGTGAAAACTAAAACAATGTGTCCAGAATATTCTGTATTGCTTGAAAAATTTATTTATATTTTTTACAATGTTTAATTGTATAAGGCGTTATTTACAAAGAAATTATGCAAAAATTGGGCGTAAAATTGACCCTCCCCATAGTTGAAATCGTGTGCATATCAAGACCTTCCCTCAAGCGTACATTCTCTTTGGTCAAGGATTATTATTTTTAACGCCTTCGATCAATGCATCGGCCAATGCACCGGTCACTTCGGTCACTGCATCGGGATTAGCAAAGGTAGTAACTTCGGGATTAGCAACCAGATTTGCTTCGGGATTAGCATTTGGATTGGCTTCGGGATTAACAACAGTGCTAACTTCAGGATTAGCAACGGGATTGGTTTCAGGATTTTCAATGATACTAGCTTCAGGATTGGCTTCGGGATTAGGAACCGTACTACCATCGGGGTTAGCAACTTGATTGGCTTCGGAATTTGCAACAGTGCTAACTTCGGGATTAGCAACGGGGTTGGTATCGGGGTTAACAACAGTGCTAACTTCGGGATTATCAACGGGAGTGGTTTCAGGGATAACAACGGTACTAACTTCAGGATTATCAACCGGATTGCCTTCAGTGTTTTCAATGATACTAGCTTCAGGATTAGCAACTGGATTAGCTTCGGTATTAGCAATTGGATTAGCTTCGGGATTAGCAAAGGTGCTAACTTCGGGATTGGCTTCGGGGTTAGCAATTGAATTGTATTCGGGGTCAGCTAGATTAGGCTCGGGATTAGCAACGGTACTAACTTCAGGATTAGGAACTGGATTGGCTTCGGAAGTAGCAACGGTGCTAACTTCAGGATTATCAACGGGATTGGCTTTAGGATTGGCAACTGTACTAACTTCGGGATTAGCAACTGTGCTAATCTCAGGATTAGCAACTGGATTGGCATCAGGATAAGCAACGGTGCTAACTTCAGTAGAGACAGTGCTAATGGCTTCAGCGTTCGTACATTTGTAATGAATGCACTTCAGGCCAGAATCGGATGGACCGCAGGGTTTATTGTCTCGGAGCGGGAACTCACAGTAGTCTTCATTACTTCTATTATTGATAATATCATTCAATCGGGGATTGTTATGTCTACCATCGTCATCTTCATGTGTGACCCCAGGCTTATAGACACATGAGTGATTAATGCACCGCATGTCGTGTGGGGGCCCACAAAAGGCGTTGTCCGACCAATACAAACAGTCGGCATTGCGCTTATGTCGCCAGAGGACGTCCTCACCGCCATTATTGATGGCCCGCAGTTTAGTCGTGTAGGCCGACCCCGACCATAGTCCCAGTGGGCTACAGCCCACATACATACACAAAATCACTGCTAGCCATATAGTAATGCAGAAATTGTGCATGGTAACGGCACTTTCAATTGTAATTCACAAAATTTACTTTTTTGAAAACTGTATTTAAGTCGCTATTATAGACCAGTTGTACAGATGTGTCGACTAATTAAAAATACTCTTTAAATAGAGTGTATTTTATAAGCGGTATTACATTTCCTTTTTAAAATTGCCGGTTCATTTTATTTACCATAACTACATTAAGATGATTGATAAGATAACAATTGTTTATTTCTAATGATCTTATTTGAGAAATTAAGATATTTTTATTGTGTAATCATTTCTGAGGTCTGTTTTATGTTTATTGTCAAAAATGTTATTTTCAATAATACTGGTTATATTTAGATGAATGCAACATTAAATAAACAAGTCAATAAAATTAGTCATTTTAAAATCTAAACTATAATTTATAATTTATTTTTAAAAAAATTATTTAAAAATGAATAAATCATGCGAAGTCTGTAACGATATTGGATTTGGTAATATTTTTAAAATGGTTTATTTTATAAAAATTTAACTTGGATAATTAATTTAGGCAGGAACTTTGGCGTAATTACATGTGAGTCGTGTAAAGGGTTTTTTAGGAGGTTTGCCAACAAGGATCAGGTTTCTTAATTATATTCAACTTTTAGATTATTATTATTATTAATAATATTAATATACTGTATATAATCTAACTTTACATTTAAGGAGCTATTGGTTTGTCCATCAAATAGTAAATGTCATATCAATCCGTTGACGAGAAATATATGCAAACGGTGTAGACTAGACAAGTGTTTTTTGGTAGGAATGAAAAAGGTACTTTTATAAATAGCCAGAATATTCTTATATTAATTTAATTCAATTCACAGGAATTTATCCGAAATGCCGCAGAAAATGAATTGAGAAAACAGTTGATACGTGAAAACAAAATCAAACGAAAACTACATAATAAGACAATAACTATCGTTTCATTGACTGATAAATCATTAGAAAATTCAATGGATTCGGTCGAAGGCTTCGGAAGTGATATATTAAATGATTTATTGAGTGACCCAATCAGTGATCATGAAATCCAACACATGATCGCAGAACTTGAAAACTACTCAACATTTAAATCAAACGCTAAATCAGAAGATAATAATAGTCTCTCCGATAATATGACAATAATTCCTATATTCCGAGAACTCAATGATTATAACGGTTTGAATGAATTGGAGTCCAATCGGATCAACGAACTGATGAGCGCTT